TTTCTTTTTTTTTTCTTTTTTCTTTTTTTTTTTTTTGGGTGGGGGGCGGGGGCCGGTCGTGGGAGAGGGGATGAGGATCAGGAGGAAAACACCTCCAAGCTAAAAATCAAATGTTGCAGAACCTTTGGTCACAGACATGGGCCTGTTACAAATGCCTCTTTATCTAATCTTGCCATAGAGAAGCTGATTTTCCTCCCATGGTTTCTATATATTTTTAAATTAAGCTGAAAAGAACAGTTCAAAGGAAGCAGACATTTCTAACCATCAAAATAATTTTAACTTACAAATACTACAGTGGATTTTCCAGGCACTGCCAGGAATTTTAAAAAACTTTCATCTCCGCAGTTCAGAGTATCCTCCGAGACCTTCAAACAGTGTACGATTCCTCACCTGGTTTCAGCTCTGTCATACAAACACTTTGCAAGTGCTGGAATGCCTAAATTAAAATTTATTTCTTTCAATAAGCAGAATTCAGAAGCATCTATTATAGGAGAGAAGACAGACAATCCTTAGGGCCTCATTTTCAGAGTTTCCTTAACTTAAACTAGATCTGTGTACTGGATTTTTTTTAGAAGCATTGCTGTTCATGGGCTCTTTCATCTAGTTGTTGTTCAGGACTTGAATTTACTCCCATGACTTGCCAGAATATATTCAGTGCCATGTTTAATTTGATATTGCACATTTTGTTTCACGTTTCCTTTTTTTGGGGGGGGAGGAGGGAAGGAGATGAAGGCTTTCCTACAAGATTTGAGGGGAAAAAAGAAACCAAAATAAAATAAAGCCCACCAATGTCACTAACTCATTCTGGCGCAGAGACATTGGCTTTTAACGAAATACTTTATAACAGTGCTGCTGGCAAAGTAGTGCAGCACAAACAGGGGAAGAAATCCTAAAACACCTCCAAAGTCTTTACGAGTGTAAAAGGGCTCATTCTAGACAAAGTCGGAGTGTATACAAAGCTTCCTCATTTTCCACCTGGAAAAAGATTTCAGAGCAAGCTTTTTTTCTTTTTTTTTTCCCTTTCCTTTCTCGCCCTCTTTTCTGAGGCACGCAGCTCAGCCCCACACAGCAACCTGTGTGCAGGGGAAGGGCTGGGCAATGCCAGGCAGGACCAAAGGACGCACCTTTTCAGCCCAAAGGGCAACGCGTGCCACTCGCTCAGACCCTGACAGGAAGGGAAAAAAAAAAAAAAAAAAAAAAAAGGATTTTTATACAGTTTTTTCAAAGA